CTCCCTGGCCTCTTCCAAAGCTTTTTCCTGGATTAAATCCACATTAAAATGTGAATTATGGTAAATGTGAGTGCCCAGGGTGGGAATGTCAGAATTCCTTACTCCTCACAGTGCTCCAGGCCTGGTTCTTCCCACATTCCCTTCTCCTGAGGCACAGCCTCTCCTCTTGGATTTTCTCTTTCCACGTGTCTCAATTTTCCAAATCTGCGTTCCTGAGCTGTTTGATTGCTCTGTTCCTCACCAGTTTCTGCTTTCTCTTTGCCTGAAGAGAATTATGGAATCCCAGCCAGGTTTGGGTCGGGAAGGACCTTAAATCCCATCCCGTGCCACCCTTGCCATGGCAGGGACACCTTCCCCATCCCAGGCTGCTCCAGCCTGGCCTTGGGCACTGCCAGGGATCCAGGGGCAATCCCAGCCCAGGCAGGAATTCCCAATTCCCAGTGTCCCATCCATCCCTTCCCTCTGGCACTGGGAGCCATTCCCTGGCTCCTGTCCCTCCATCCCTTGTCCCCAGTCCCTGGAGTGTCACCAGCACACCCGGGTCAAACCCAGCAGCCTGTGCCTCCCAAATTTGGGGGTTTTTTTGGGGGGACAGTCCCCACCCTTCCCTGGCTCTGCTGCCAGAACCCCTCGGGCTTTGCCTGCAGCAGGGGCTGGGTTTTAGGATTTCAGGTGAGCCAGCCCCAAAACACGTCAGGAATGCGAGGCAGCTCCCCAGGAAGGGCTGGGAGTGGCAGGGAAAGGCCAGCCTTGGTTTTAGGGCAAACTGGAGTTCGGCTCTGGGACAGCACAGAGCCTGAGCTGCTCCCGAGTTCCTGCTCTGTTTGTGAGACATTTATACAGCTGGGGAGGGAATGGGGCTGGAAAAGTGGCATTTCCTGGGATTGGGAGGGAATGGGGCTGGAAAAGTGGGATTTCCTGGGATTTGTGTCACCTGGGGCTGCCACACTCCTGCTGCCTCCTGCCCAAAGCCTTTTCCTACTCCTCACGCCCCCAGCTCCTCCTTGCCCTGTCCCAGGGCTTTTGGGGATGCTGAGTTGCTGGATCAGGGCTTCAGTTCTGCCCCAAATAATTCCCCATCCTGCCACTTTTTAGGCAAAAATTCATTATGCAGATCTTTAGGAATTTGTGTGCAATTCATCCTGTGGGTGAAGCTTGGGGGTTTTGCCCCTGCACCGTACAAATGTTAAAAATGTGGTGGAAGGACAGAGATTTTGGATTTGCTTTTTCTTTCTGTCTTTTTCTTAAATTATGGAGCAGTTTGGGTTAAAAGGGAGCTCATGGATCCTCTGGTTTGAGCCCCCTGCCCCTATCCCAGGGTGCTCCAACCTGGCCTGGGACATTCCAGGGATCCAGGGCCAGCCACAGCCTCTCTGGGCAGCCTCCCTCACATTAAATAATTCCCTGGGTTTATATTTGAGTTCATCAGAAAATGCAGCACAAGAACCATTTGGTGTTTATTAGGACACGTTGGTTAAAAAGTAAGATCCCAAAGGGAAAGGTGTGATGATGTTTGTGGGAATGTACAGGATTCCTAAAAAGTAAAATCCCAAATAGAAAAGTGTGACATTTGTGGGAGTGTAGAGGATTTCTAAAAAGTGAAATCCCAAACAGATTCGTGTGTGATTTTTGTGGGATTGTAGAGGATTTCTAAGTAAAATCCCAAACAGAAAATTGTGACAACATGTAGAGGATTTCTAAAAGTAAAATCCTAAAGGGAAAAGTGTGATGATGTTTGTGGGAATGTGGAGGATTTTTAAAAAGTAAAATCCCAAAGGGAGAAGTGTGGTGATTTTTGTGGGATTGTAGAAGATTCTGAAAAAGTAAAATCCCAAACAAAAACATGTGACTACATTTGTGGGAGTGTAGAGGATTTCTTAAAAGTAAAATCCCAAAGGGAAAAATTTAACATTTGTGGGAACGTGGAGGATTTTTAAAAAGTAAAATCCCAAAGAGGAAAGTGTGATATGTTTGTGACAACGTAGAGGATTTCTAAGAAGTAAAATCCCAAACAGAAAAGTGTGATGATGTTTGTGGGATTGTAGAGGATTTCTGTGGGATTTTTATACAGTGGATGGAAAAACCCAGCCCTTTTTCAGCACTGCTGGGAGGGAATGTCCCAGTTGTGCCAGACACCCAGCACAGAGGGATATTTTCCAGCAGCTGGGACATTTGTTGTGATAAGTGAAGCTTTGAAATCCTGTTCAGCATTTTCACAAGCAAAACACCACATCTGCAGAGGCCTGTGAGCAAAGGGATTCTGGAGCAGCAGCACTGGGATCCTGATTTCTCAGTGTCAGGCCTGGATAAGCAAAGGCTGACGAGGCAGGGCAGGTTTTATTCTTTGTACCCAGGATTAAGCCTGGCTTTACAGGGGCAGCTGTGTGGGATGTGGTTCTGACAGAGAATTTCTGCAGGAAGCCTCACAACCTTTGGGGTCCAGCAGCAGCAGCAATCTGGTGGAACCGGTGTGTTTAGGTCCAGATTGCCTCCAAAAAGTGAGAATATTTTGTTCTTACCCCGTGTGTGAATTGTGGAGAACTCCAAATTTCACATGTTGTAATTTCAGACATTTCCTAGAATGTTCCAGTGTCTTCACTCAAGCAGCAGTTCTTTCAGTTCAATCCAAAATATCAAATAAAGGGGTTTTTTGGGGTTTATTTACAGTTATATCACAGTCAGTGGGCAGCTCAGCTCTTTATAGGTGTTATTTGTCACAGTTCTCAATGTTGGAATAGCTGACATTTCAAGGAGTAATTTTTAATATATATAATTTTATATATAATTTTTATATATTATTTTTATATATAATTTTTATATACAATTTTTATATATAATTTTATATACAATTATATATATATTTTATATAATTTTTAAATATAATTTTATATATAATTTTTAAATATAATTTAATATATAATTTTATATATATAATTTTATACATATAATTGTATATATATAATTGTATATATAGTTCATATATAAGTTTAATATATTTATTGATAGATATTTTTACATTTTATTTTTATATATATTTATTAATATATATATTTATATTTAAAATATATAAATAATAAATATTTCTCTATACTATATATAGAAATATATAAAAATATATTAAAATATATTTTTAAAAATAAATGCAGCTTATATATTATATATATTTTAAAATTTTATTTTAATATGTATTTTTATTTATATATGTATATATATATGGAATAGGGAGTTGTAAAATCAGGGAATATTGGGGAAAACAACATCAGCAATAACAACCACAACAATAATAATAATAATAATAATAAATTCTAATAGCATATTAATAATAGAATTTTAATTGGATAATAATAATAATAAATTTATAATAGAGAACGATAAAATTTTTGCAGCTCAGAAAAATAAGGAAATAGGGAGCACAGAAAGATTCCTGGATTTGCAGGGAAGTCCAGGAGAGCTTTTTGTTTGGCATTGGGAGTGAGATCTTGAGGAATTCAGTGTAAAGATATTTCCCCTGGGATTTGTGCTCTCTCAAGGCTCATCTTGGGTTTTCCTTCTCTTCCACGCCTGATTTCTGCTCCTTCCTCTCACTGTTTCTTAAGGAGGGGGTAAAACATTCAGATTTCCCAGGAATAATGAGGAGAGCAAAGAGAATAAAGAGAAATGATGGATGACCCCAAAACCCACAAATCAAGTAAGAAAATGTAGAATTTTGGGGCACTGGGAGGACACAGCTGTGCCTCCATCTCCCTGCCTTTTCCCAACCCCAGAACCTCCAACCTGGAGCAGAATAACCAAAAAAAACCCCAAAAAAACAAAAAATGGAGCAGAATTCAGTGTAAGAGTTCAGAGTGAAGATATTTCCCCTGGGATTTGTGCTCTCCCAAGGCTCATCTTGGGTTTTCCTTCTCTTCCACGCCTGACTTCTGCTCCTTCCTCTCACTGTTTCTTAAGGAGGGGGTAAAGCATTCAGATCTGACAGAAATAATGAGAAATAATGGATGAGCCCAAAACCCCCAAATCAAGTAAGAAAATGTGGAAATTTTTTTGAGGATTGGGAGGACACAGCCAAGCCTCCATTTCCCTACCTTGTCCCAGCCCCAGAACCTCCAACCTGGAGCAGAATAACAAAAAATGGAGCAAAATAACAAAAATTAACAAAAAAATGGAGCAAAATACTGAAAAATTCGCCCAGCAGGGTGAGGAGGAGCATCCCAGGTGCTCCTGGTGCCAAGGGCTGCTGTCCCAGCTTTCCAGGCCCGGGAGGTACCTGTGGCACAAAGCGGGAGGATTTCACCTGGATGGGATTCTGCAGCTCCGCTCATCATTAAATTGGGATTATTTTATTTTATTTCATTTTCCACCCCACCCTGTTTTCCCCAGCCTTTGAAGAGAGGCCAGAAGGCTGCAAATGCTGTCAGTGTTCTGGTCCTGGAGCCGTTCCAGGCTCAGGGAATTCTGCCAGTTCGGGGGAATTTAGCAAATAGGGGCAGGAGATGATCCCAGCAACAAAATTGCTGCTCCTTGGGGTGGCACAGTGCGGGGAGCTCGTGGATGTAACATTTATTTTCTAAAGATTTTTATTCAGAATGGTCATAAAGATGGAGAAAGAGCCTGGTTCTGGTTCCCAGCTCTACACCAGATTTACACCTGGGTGTAAATCCAGCCCTAACTGGATTAAATTCATCCTGGTTTATCAATAAGGGTCCTTGTGGTCATCACCTGCAGGCTTTTCCTTCTGCTCTGCAGGAATTCCCATGGCTCTCCATTTTCCATGGACAAAATGTTCCTTTTTCCTTTAATTTCAGCACTGGTTGGGTAAATCCTGGCTGTTTCTGTTCCTTAGGAATGGCCATAACCTCACTAAATTGTATATTGGATTTTGAAATATTAATAATTGGATTTTGAAAGAAAAAAATATATATTTCTATATATTTATATAATGTATTATTTGCATACTATATTACTACTATATTATATTAATTGTATTATATTTATTGTATTATATGGTATTCTGTTCTATTCTTTATATATTCTCTCTAGAATATCTATTTATATAGAAATATACATTTATATATTTATATATTACATCATTTTATTTATATAATATATTTTTATTAAAATCTATAATTATATAAAAATTAAATGAATTTATTTTTATATATATATATAATTTGGGTGCCTGGTACTTAGGATTTGACTTTTTCCCACCAAATCTGCTTCTTTTGAGGTTATTAATTGTAAAATTCCATGTGTGTCCACAAAAACCCAACATTTCTGGCTGCCTGCAAGTACCTCCCAGTCTGCCAAGGACAAAATAACGTTTAAGGTGTGAAATTATTCCTTAATATTGGAAAAATGAGAAGGCTGGGGAGTTGCCTTGCATGGGAGATGTTTGGCAGGTTGGAAATTGGATCCTTCCAAGTCTTAACCTATTAAATTGATACTTGAATGTCAATTTATTAGGTTTTATTAGGTTTTATTTATTATGTGTCTTATTTATTAGGTTTTATTTATTATATGTCTTATTTATTAGGTTTTATTTAATATATGCCTTATTCATGAGGTTTTATTTATTATATGTCTTAACGTAATAAATTGACATTTTCCCTTGCTTGGTATTGACTTTTGGGAGAGCACTTAAACCTTATTATGAATAACGCTAATTACTCATTTGGAATCATTTCTGTGGGGGCCCATCTAGCAGTTAATTAATTTTCTTGTGCCTGGCTATTGATTATTCAGGTTATTTCCATTAATCTGCTCTTGGTCCAGCCCTTTCCATATCTCCTCTCTTGTCTTTGCCTCACTTCTCACAGTGCCCCTTTTCCCTCTCCAAATTTGGCTTTATTTTAAGGGCTTAAGCCATAAACCCCTGCCTGAGTTAACTTTTTGACCCCATTTTTGATAACAGCAGCTGCAGAACTTTATCTTTGCCCAGCACTTTGTGCTGTTTCTGCAGTGTCTGATAAGAGAATTCCACCCCTGCTCCAGCATCTCCTCACTCTGGTCCCGGCAAAATTGGTGTTTTTATGCTTAAATGGCTGCAAAATCAAAATCTCCTCATTCTGGTCCAGGAAATAAATGGTGTTTTTATGTTTAGATAGCTGCAAAAAGCAAAATGACATGAAATTTTTAATTCTGCGTTCATTCCTTGTCCTGTGAGGAAAAGTAAAAATTTTTATTCTTCTCTTGGCCAACGAGTTTGTTTTTTGACCTTAAAAACCTTACTGCCATAATTGTTTCTAGATTATTTTTGTGATTTGAGTTACTTGGAAGGAGCTGATGAATATTTTAATGGGATTTTTGCTTTCAGGACTGTTCTCAATCCATCAGAGGAGCACCAGCCTCCAAATAGGTCTCATCCTTTTGGATTTTATTGCTCATCCTGCTGTGGGTTTTTACAGGGAGAACTGAAGGGTGGGTGTGCAGTTGGTGGGGGAATAATTGCTGTGTTCTCATGGTTGAATTTTGTAAATTGAATTTTTCCTTCTGCATAAAAAACCTATGGTTTCCTGGTTAAAGTTTGTAAATTGGATTTTTCCTTCTGCATAAAAAAGCTGTGGTTTCATGGTTGAGTTTTGTAAATTGAATCTTTTCTCCTGCATAAAAAAAGCTGTGGTTTCATGGTTGAATTTTGTAAATTGAATCTTTTCTCTGGCATAAAAAAAGCTGTGTTTGTTTTCATGGTTGAGTTTTGTAAATTGAATTTTTCCTTTTGCATAAAAAAGCTGTGTTCTCATGGTTGAATTTTGTAAATTCAGTTTTTTCTCCTGCATAAAAAAGCTGTGGTTTCATGGTTGAATTTTGTAAATTTAGTTTTTTCTCCTGCATAAAAAAGCTGTGGTTTCATGGTTGAATTTTGTAAATTGAATCTTTTCTCTGGCATAAAAAAGCTGTGTTTTCATGGCTGAATTTTGTAAATTTAGTTTTTTCTTCTGCATAAAAAAGCTGTGGTTTCATGGTTGAGTTTCATAAATTGAATTTTTCCTTTTGCATAAAAAAAGCTGTGGTTTCATGGTTGAATTTTGTAAATTGAATCTTTTCTCTGGCATAAAAAAGCTGTGTTTGTTTTCATGGTTGAGTTTTGTAAATTGAATTTTTCCTTCTGCATAAAAAAAGCTGTGGTTTCATGGTTGAATTTTGTAAATTGAATTTTTCCTTTTGCATAAAAAAGCTGTGGTTTCATGGTTGAATTTTGTAAATTGAATCTTTTCTCTGGCATAAAAAAGCTGTGTTTTCATGGCTGAATTTTGTAAATTTAGTTTTTTCTTCTACATAAAAAAGCTGTGGTTTCATGGTTGAGTTTCGTAAATTGAATTTTTCCTTCTGCATAAAAAAGCTGTGGTTTCATGGCTGAATTTTGTAAATTCAGTTTTTTCTCCGGCATAGTAAAGCTGTGTTCTCATGGTTGAATTTAGTGAATTGGATTATTCCTGCATGCAGGGATGTGAGATTTGCCTGGCAGTGTCCCAGGCCAGGCTGGATGGGTTTGGAGCAGCCTGGGGCGGTGGCAGCTGGGCAGGCTGGGTTGGGATGAGCTTTCAGCTCCCTCTCAACCCCAATCCCATCATTTATTCCAAGCCTGCAGGAGGAAACTCCCAGTTCTCTCCCAAGCATCTGGGTTGACATCCAGCATCCCAAAATCCCCAAATTTGGCAGCAGATGGCAAAGCACAAACCCTTTTCCCTGTTCCCAAAGCGCTCCCTGCTCTTTGTTTGGGAGCTCTGGCATTTGTGGCGCCTCCTCCCTCCACCCCTGCCCTGCTCTCACTGCCCTCTCCACATCCCTGCTCCTTTCCCAAGATGAGGAATTCTCCATTTTTCCATCAAGTTGCAGCTCTTCATCTTCAGGGTCTCCTCTGCATTTTCTTTTTGTTCCTATAACTCCTGAAATCCAGGGGAAAGCAGCACAATACACAAAAAAATATTGATTTATTCTGGAGTTCTGTACTCCATACTTATCGGCCTTTGTGTTGAAACTGAAGAGAAAGTTAAATTTTCGTTATTTCTAATAATATATTCAATTTCCTTTTGTTAATTCTATTCATTTTCATTAATTACACCCATTATCCCAGGCCAGAAATTCCTTCCATTAAATGACCTGAAGCAGTCAAGGATTTTGGGAGATGATGAGGGAGGGAGACAGGGCAGGATGAAGGAATATCTTCAATCAAATGAATGGATAGATTAATTTATGTATATGAATATATTATATTCTTTTAAAACATGGAATGTATATATATATATATAATTTGTATGAATATATTATATTCTTTTAAAACATGGAATGTATATATATATATATAATTTGTATGAATATATTATATTCTTTTAAAAGATTGAATGGATATATGAATTATATATATTTTTATATATGAATATATTCTTTTAAAAGATGGAATGAATATATATATATTATATATATTTTATATATGAATATATTCTTTTAAACAATGGAATGAATAAATGTATTATATATATTTATATATATGAATATATTCTTTTAAAAGATGGATTGAATATATATATATTATATATAATTTTATATATATGAATATATTATATTCTTTTAAAAGATGGAATGAATATATATATGTATGAATATATTATTTCAAAAGATGAAATTAATATATAATTTCATATAAATATAATAAATTAATATATAATATATATAATATATATAATACATATAATATAATATATATAATATATAATATATAATACATATAATATATAATATATAATATATTATATATTATACATATAATATATAATATATATATTATATAATATATAATATATATTATATATATAAAATATAATATATAAAAAATATAATAAAAATATAATATAATGAAAATATAATAAATTTATTTATATAATGAATATAATTAATTAAATATATTTAATTAATATGAAATTAATATATAATATGTAATAAATGAATAATAATATTCATACATATATAATTATATATTATATATATAATTATATACGTATGAATATATTATATTCTTTTAAAAGATGGAATGAATATATGTATTATATATATTTATATATATGTGAATATATACTTTTAAAAGATGGAATGAATATATATACAATTATATATGTATGAATACATTATTTTAAAAGATGGAATGAATATATATTTATATATACACCTATTTTATATATCTATATTCAGATATTATATTATCAAAGGTGGAATTCTCCTCTATCAGAGGCAGAGGAAGGGAGCAGATGCACAATTTTCCACCCTTCAGCTGCTGCATCCATTTGTTTGTAGGTATGACAATATTTAGGATATTTTAAGGTAATTCCTGCAGGCACTGAGGAGGTTTTTTGGAGCAGCATCCCTTTATCCTGACCATTGAACATCCCCTCAATTGTCAGGAATGTTGGCTCTGGTTTTTTTCCCTTTTCAGCCCCCAAAGTCCTTTCATGGTGGGTAAGTGAGAGCCCAGAATTGCAGCATCAACTTCTCTTATTTCAAAAGGTTGCTGCACCTCTTTTTCCCCTCTGTAATAAAGTTTATTGCTTCCTCTGTCTTTGCCTGGCATTGTGGAAGGGGGAGATTTCCCCTGGCTGGGTCATTTTGTTCTGTAGAATTCTCCAGGCTTAAAAAAAACACCCTAAAAGGGAAATTGAATTGATGAAACTCAACCATGAGAACACAGCTTATTTGTGGAGAAGGAAAAATTGAATTTACAAAACTCAGCCATGAAATCACAGCTTTTTTGTGCAGAAGGAAAAATTCAATTTACAAAACTCAACCATGTGAACACAGCAATTATTACCCCCACCAACTCCACCCTTCAGTTCTCCCTGTAAAAGCCTACAGCAGGATGAACAATATTTTTTTATTTTAATTATATTTTATTTTTATAAAAATGTTTTATATTATTTTAACAAAATTATATTATTTTAAAAGATTTAATGAATATATGTATATCTTTTTATATATATATGAATATATTATATTCTTTTGAAAGGATATATTCTTTTAAAAATATATATATTCTTTTTATCTATAGGATGAAACCTATTTGGGGCCTGTACATTTAATTTTGTGGAACCTAGTCACAAGAAAAAAGAAAAGCTGCTTATTCCTGTAATCCTTTTTCTCCAGAGCCATATTAAATTCCAATTTCCAGCCTTGCACAGGTGAGGGGGAGATTTAAACCAGCTGCAGGTGATGTATAAAAGTGAGTTTGTGTTCCAAACTCAACTTTTGGCCATCCAGAGGTTTGGCAAAGCTCAGCTCTTTGAGGAAATGGAAAACTGGCAGAAATTTAATCTCATTACTGGATTTTTAGACAAAATGAATTATTTTCCACAAGGGGAAAATCCATCCATGCACGATGGGGGGTTCTGGGTTTTAAGCTGAATGTCAGTTTGAGCTGTGAAGGGAATAATGCACTTTTCATTCCCTGTTTTCAGCTCACAAATCCTTCCCCCCAGTGCTGCTTCCCGGGTTTATCGTGTTCATCAGGGATTATTTTCTTTCTGAAATCATCTCATGTGCTCGGTGCAGTCAGGCACCTCCCATGCCAACATCCTGCCCCGAGCTAAAACCACGTTGGGCCTCACTTTTACAAGATCTCAGATAAGGAACTTGGCAATTCCTGGTAATTAAGGCCAAATTTTAGTTCCAAGAGGGGTTCTGGGTGCAGCCAAAGGAAATTGTGGTGGTTGAAGATCCGGTGGATGAGTTCACTTGGATTCTGTCACCGTTGCTCCTTGCAGATGTCTGTCAGTGTGATGTAAAACCCATTTTTCTGGGGTGTGTTGTGCTAATAACAACATGCTGTGAGGCAAAAAGTGAAAAAAATACAGACTTAACTCAGCACGGGGAAAAAAAGATAAAACTTCCATAGCAAAGGGTTTTAAATTTGCAGGTCTGCAATAATTTTTGGGGCACTTTAATCTTGATTTAATTATTTAATTATTAATCTTTATTTAATTAAGTCAAAATATTCGCTTTTCCCCACCTTTTCATTTTAAATGTGACTGCTTGTTTCCTAAAGAAAATTTTGTTTTTTTTTTTAAAAATTTGTTCTGCCACTTGTTCCCTGGCTGAGTTTTGCAGGAATTAAACGGTCTCCAGAGGAGAACCTGAGAAAGGGGCAGCAGCCAGGGAGCTCTTTCTGCCCTTTCGGCCAAGCTGAATTTCCTCTGTGCCCTTGGGGATTTGTGGCAGGGCCACGTCAGCTGTTGGGTTTTACCTTTCCAGCCCCAAACAGAAAATTCCTTTCTGCCTGTGGAGCTCCCGTGTCCCGAAGTGCAACTGAACGAGCTCAACAGAAGCATTTGCAGTGATCCAAGAGCACCTGAAAATTGCTTTCTGGATGGCAGCAGGAAGTTTCATTTGCATTCCACATCTGATGTTCAATCTGCTAATCCTCCACTGAGCCTGCCAGGAAAAACAGGCTGGAATTTTTTATTAAAATCAGAAAGCAGGGATGCTGCTTCCCACTTTTTTCCATCACACCCTGCAAGGTCCCAGCCTTCTGGAATATTTTAATTATTTCAGCCATTGTGTTCCTGGCTGTTTCCTTGAAATGGGTTTTAGCCACAGGGGTTTCTAATAGCGCCCAGCCCTTCCCTTTTGGGTTGTCTTCCCTCCCCCAGGAAAGCTGGAGCTCCCTGTTTGCTCCTGTTTATGTAAGTTAATCTTCCATGTGGTGACATTTCCCCCCACCCTCATTAATGAGAGCTCCTAATTGGGCCTAATGAAACATTTACTCACTCTGCTAGATAATATTATCTGCCAGCTCGACAGAGATAAGGCTCTGGGAAGAAAACAAGCTTTTGAAAGATCCTGGGTGAGATATGAAAGCCATTTTTGGGGCCAATATTTTCTTATTTGACTGGAGAACGCCCTTGTGGTGCAGCTGTGTAACCAAGCCATGGCAAACAACATCCATTATTTATTGGCAAACAAGGACACCTTTGACTACATCAGGTTGGGAGGTCGATTTGCTGAGCCTTGCCCCCAGCCAGAGTCGCTTTTTTTTTGTGTTTATATTCCCTCAGATTTTCCATTTGGCACGAGAAGAAGCCAGAGGAGCCCAGGGGAGGGGAGCAGGGGGGTCTGCAGCAAACTGGCACAAGTGGAATTGTGCCTTTTATTTCTGCCCAGGTGCTTCAGATCCAGTTACAGCCCATAAAGGCAGAATTTCCTTGAGCCGGCAGCACAAGGAGAGAAGCCTTGGAAATGTTGGAGTGATTCAATTCCCTCCCTTCCCGCAGAAATAATTTAAAAGTGCTTGAAATACACTGTAATTTTGTGAAATTCTTGATCAAAACTGGGTTGCTCGAGCTATTCCAAGTATATAATAAGGATATTGCAAGGATTTAAGTGTCCCAGGCCAGGCTGGAAGGGCTTGGAGCTGAAGGCGTGGAAGTGGAAGGGAGGTGGAACTGGATGAGCTTTAAATTCCCTTCCATCCTGGAATTCCAGGATAAACAGTTATTTGCAAGGGATCCGGGAAGGAGAGTGAAGAGGAGGCCCAGAAAAGACTCTTCTCATCTGGTAACCAACATCCCTCAAGCTTTTTTAAGGTTTGGAGCCTTTTTGGAGTCAGGAAATCTGCATCCCCGATGGTGCAGGGGCACAGGGATGAGGTGATTGGGATCAGGAATGTGGCTTGGAATTCCAGGAGTTGGATCAGCTCCACACACTGGGGGGAACTGTTTGTCCATTGGTTTGTCTTCACTCCCTCAGGTTCCCTTGCTGCTGATCCGTGCTTCTGTTTTGGGCAGAATTCCCAGGGAAAGTTGGGATGTCTGTGGAATGGGAATGTTCCCTGGTGTGGTCCCACCCAGGCCATCCCCTCAGCAGTGGAGGAAACTCATCCTCAGGGGTGGGCTGAGCCTCATTCCCTCACTTTTTGTCTTTTATTTGTCTTTTATGGCACTGGGCTACCCCAGGAAGGAGGGAATTTCAATTTCTGCAGTGCCACAGCTCTCAGTGGGAGCCGTATTGTGTAGTTCAAGTGCTTCTGCAAATATTTAGTTATAAAATCCTGGGTTTTATCTTAATTTAATGCTAATTTGTGTGTCTTGAAAACGGAATTTTGATGATCTGCTGCTGTTTGTTCTCCACAGGTTCTTCTGCTTAATCCTTCAGATCCTGGGCTGCAGCCAGAAGAAATCTGGACCATCCTATGGAAAATAGACTTGGAAGTACACAGGGAGCAGAGGTAGGCTGGGACTGTGGAATTTCTCCTGAAATATATCCATAAAGCCAAGGTTTAATTAAGCAGATCTCAAGCAGTATGGTTAAATTCACAATAAAATTCACAATTCCTAAAATTCTGTTGTTTGCTTGGTTGGCAAAACCATCTCCACTGGAAAAGGAAAAACCCCAACCAATCCAAAAAAAACCGCAGGGAAAAGAGGGAATTTCCTGGAATTCCCTGCTGAGCTCCATTTCCAGCCTGGCCAGGGTGTGCCTGGAAGTTTGGAGGGAATGCCTTTGGCTCTGGTTTGGCAGGAGCCTCCACTCCAGCTTGTTTGTCCTGCTGGGAATTTGCATGGGAGGAGCAAGGCTGTGATTTGTAATATCTGAACCAGGCTCCAGGGTCGCTGGAATTTGCCACAATTCCCTGCATTTGTCTGGAGGTGTGGAAATCTGAATACCAGCCTGAGCAAAATGCTCAGTTCCTCTCTCTAAAGCCTTGGCAGAGCACCCAGGGGGCCCCAAATAAATGGATTTTTGGGTGATTGCATCTCATCCATGTGAACTTTCCACCCTGCCCTTCTCCAACACGTCTGTGCCATCTTCCTCAGCCTTCCCTTGGGATGCACTTAAAAATAAATAAATTGAGTTTACACTTACAAATTTTAATGCTGTGGCAGGGCGAAGTGCACTTAAAATTCAGATGATGCAGCTTGTGTGAAGTGAAGTTTATTTATCTCAGGCAAGGGATTGGTTGTTGGTGTTAAAATTGAGATTTCTCTGCGTTTAGTGCTGTTTATTCCACGCTGTTTCAAGCTGGATCTAAAGAACCTCAGTCCTGCTGATTTTTAGGAATCCTTTTGAGGCACTTTTAAGGCTCGGGAGGACAAATAGATGAGAGGAATAACGTGAATCTGAGTTTATTTTGCAAGTCCCAGCGCTGTGTGAGGGGTTCTGGCCAGCAGAAGGCACCACCAGCTCAGCTTTGCGCCGCTCGCCGGCATTCCCGGCTGCATCTCCACGCTCCCAGCGGGATTTGGCAGGAAATTCATCATCCCACACCTCCGACCCTCACAATTCCCACTAAACAATAATAACAATAATAATAATAATGTGTTCCCTTGCTGTTCCAGGCCTGAGGGCTGGGAGTTTCCCTGTACAGTGATGTTGGGGACCGGGGCGTTGCGGCGCGCGCTGGCCGCGGCCGTTCTCCCCTTCCTCATCCTCTCAGGACACTGGGCTGCAGCTGAGAACATCAACTTCTACAACATCAGGCCTCCACTAGACCGTAAGTAGCTTTTTTTTGGTGGAATTCTGGCCTTTTTCTCTATGGAATTCTGCCTTTAAATTGCAATTATTTGCCTCCCAGTCCTTTGCGTTGCAGCTGCTCGTGCCCACAGAAACTTTAAAATAAACATTCTGCTTCTCGCCCCACAGCACTTTGTCCCCAGTGTTTGACAAGTTGACTAAATGAAAATAAATCAAACCATTGCCAAACTAAAGAGTGCACGAGGAGTTTGGCATTTTAAGGGCTTTCCTTGTATTATTTTCTGTTTCCCTGCAGAGGAAATTGTGCGGCAGTTTCCTTGTAAATAATCCAGAACAGGTGGTTTTGGTCTTTTATCTTGTTGGGGGTTTTGTAAGGGGAGGAATAGGTGTTGCTGCATGCAATTAATTCGCTCTGTAGGTAATTAAAAACCTCGTGGGACCTGCGAAGCCAGTTGGCACTAATGGAATCATTTATTTATTTTTTTTTTCTTCCTCTTATCTGGCATCGCCAGTGTTCCATCCCTTCATTTGCATTACCTGCATCGTTAAAGCAGCCAGGATATAATAGCTGGAAATAATACCTGCCCCTAATGAACCCTGCACCTTCCAAAAGTTCATTGAAATAATGGAAATGAGATTTTAAAAGACCTTTTGTTGAAAGGATGCGACTTCTCCTTCCGAGTGGGAGTTCAAGCTCTGGAAATGCAGTTTTTCCATCAAAGGAAAATGTAGATTTATGTTTGCCCCACGAGGAGGAGGGAGATAAACTCTTCCCTCTTCCCTGGGAGTGAAAACATGAGGATAGACTTCAGGTTCAAGCCTAGAGAGAAAAAAAACTTTCTGCCAAACTTGTTTTATTTGTCTAACAGTGAAAAGATGTAAATACATATGATTTATTTCTGTAAATACATATGATTTATTTCTGTAAATACATGTGATTTATTTCGGTAAATACATGCGTGTACAAGCACCATGTTGAATATTTTTTTTCTCAGTGCTTCCCTACTGACTGTGTTTTAATGCTTTTTTAACCCTTTCCAAGCCACTCCATTCCCGAACAGCTTCAAGTGCTTTACCTGCGACAACGCCGTGGACAACTACAACTGCAACAGATGGGCTGAGGACAGGTGGTGTCCTGAAAGTGAGTAAGGATAAGGCGATATTAAATATTTGTGATACTCAAACTTGCTTTTCCCTGACTCACCCCCTTGGAGAAGGCTGGCTCATGCATGGCATTCATTAATGTGCCAGCAGTTTTGTTTTGGTAATGCTGAGTCAGGAATTTTCTGCTGATCTGACAATTTTGGCCATTCCAGAGTGTAAAGCAACAGTGAAAAATTCTTTATCTCCATCTCGCTCTGTTTTATATAATACACAACAAAAATATTAATATACAGCACTTAAAATAATTATAGTATTTTAATATTAAATTAAATATTATTATTGAATTTAACATTAGTATTTTAATATAACGTGATTTAAAATAATTTTAATATTTTATAAGACATCAGTATTAATTACCTATAATTAATATATAATACTGTATATTATATGTATATTTCCCTGTGTATATATATAATGATGTGCTTCCCAAGAGTTAATTTTAGTCTTGTTTAAAACACCTGAAGAATTTCCTCTGTAGCTTTATTCTCCTCAGAGTGTAAAGCAACAGTGAAAAACTATTTATCTCCATCTCTCTCAGTTTTATATAATAAAAATATTATATAACAAAAATATAATATATAACAAAAATATTAATTTATGGTATTTTTTAATAATACATAAATATTAACTATAGGTGTTTCTCTGTGTATCTAATGATGATGTGCCTCCCAAGAGTTAATTTTAATCTTGTTTAAAAAACCTGAATTTCCTCTGTAGCTTTTTTCTTCTCAGAGTGCAAAGCAACACTGAAAAATTATTTATCTCAATCTCTCTCAGATTGATATAATATATAACAATAAAATATTAATATACAAACAGATTTCTGACTAATAGATCAATATTAATAACCTGTGTATATTTCTCTGTGTATATATATAATGATGTGCTTCCCAAGAGTTAATTTTAATCTTGTTTAAAAAACCTGAAGAATTTCCTGTGCAGCTTTATTCTCCTCAGAGTGTAAAGCAACAGTGAAAAATTACTTACCTCCATCTCCCAGTTTTATATAACAAAAAAAAATAATATTCAAGCAGCTTTTTAATAATTCATCCATATTAATTACCTATATATGTTTCCCTGTGTATATATGCATAATTATGTGCTTCCCAAGAGTTAATTTCAAGATGTTGTTTTAAAAACCTGAAGAATTTCCTCTGTAGCTTGATTCCCTTCCCTTTGGATGCCATCCCAAAATTTCCTGTTCTTGGTGAGCAGCAGGACCTGCCTGACAGGGGCTCACACCTGTGCTGGGGAGGATGAAGCTCAGAAAAGAATGGAAATGTTTCCTCATTTTTCACCCTGGTGACACTCACGGGAACGGTGGGAAAGGGGAAGAAGCCGAGCAGAGGAATGAGGAAACAAACCTGAAACCAACCTTTTGGTTTGGAAACAAACCTTTTTGGCAGGAGCCTGCTGCCAAAAAGAGGGGAGAAACAAAAGTAAATGTGTGGATGCTGGTGCTAATTAGTAATTCCAATCAAAGCAGCCTTGCTGGAGGTTGGAAGGGTCAGCTGAGGCTTCACAGGAATTAATTTCTTGCTAAATGCTCTTTTCATCAAGTTGCAGATGGTTCTGCAGAGGCATTTTCTGGGGATGTTTTCCTGAGCTGTGTGTAGATGTGAGAGGCTGTTCTGAGGCATCAGTGATGGCAGTCAAACTCCAGAATTCCTCTTAATGATGGCAGTCAAACTCCAGATTCCTTTTAAAGATGAGAATCAAACTCCAGATTTGTTAATAATGATGGGAATCAAACTCCAGATTCCTTTTAATGATGAGAATCAAACTCCAGAATTCCTCTTAATGATGGCAGTCAAACTCCAGATTCGTTTTAATGATGAGAATCAAACTCCAGAAATGTTTTTAATGATGGCAGTCAAACTCCAGATTTGCTTTTAATGATGGGAATCAAACTCCAGATTTGTTAATAATGATGGGAATCAAACTCCAGAAATGTTTTTAATGATGGCAGTCAAACTCCAGATTTGCTTTTAATGATGGCAGTCAAACTCCAGATTCCTTTTAATGATGAGAATCAAACTCCAGAAATGTTTTTAATGATGGCAGTCTAACTCCAGATTTGTTAATAATGATGGGAATCAAACTCCAGATTCCTTTTAATGATGGCAAACTCCAGATTTGCTTTTAATGATGGGAATCAAACTCCAGAAATGTTTTTAATGATGGCAGTCTAACTCCAGATTTGTTAATAATGATGGGAATCAAACTCCAGATTCCTTTTAATGATGGCAAACTCCAGATTTGCTTTTAATGATGGGAATCAAACTCCAGAAATGTTTTTAATTATGGCAGTCAAACTCTAGATTTGCTTTTAATGATGGGAATCAAACTCCAGAAATTATTTTAATGATGGCAGTCAAACTCCAGATTCCTTCTAATGATGGCAGTGAAACTCCAGATTTGTTAATAATGATGGGAATCAAACTCCAGATTTGCTTTTATTGATGGGAATCAAACTCCAGATTTGTTAATAATGATGGGAATCAAACTCCAGAAATGTTTTTAATGATGGCAGCCAAACTCCAGATTTGTTAATAATGATGGGAATCAAACTCCAGATTTGTTAATAATGATGGGAATCAAACTCCAATTCCTTCTAATGACGGTGATGGAATCCCGGGTCCCCTGTGCAGGCACTCGGTACTGCCTGACCGCTCACCTGTTCACGGCGCGCGGGGAGAGCACCTCGGTCACCAAGAGATGCGCCACGGGCGAGGAATGTCACCTGGTGGGCTGCCACCGCCGCGGGGACAGCGGCCACACGGTCAGCACTGCTCCTGTCCTGCTCCTGCTCTGCTCCTGCTCTGCTCCTGCTCCTGCTCTGCTCCTGCTCTGCTCCTGCTCTGCTCGTGCCCTGCTCCTGCTCTGCTCCTGCTCTGCTCCTGCTCTGCTCCTGTCCTGCTCCTGCTCTGCTCCTGCTCTGCTCCTGTCCTGCTCCTGCTCTGCTCCTGCTCTGCTCCTGCTCCTGCTCTGCTCCTGCCCTGCTCCTGCTCTGCTCGTGCCCTGCTCCTGCTCTGCTCCTGCTCTGCTCCTGCTCTGCTCCTGCTCTGCTCCTGCTCTGTCTGCTCCTGCCCTGCTCCTGCCCTGCTCCTGCCCTGCTCCTGCCCTGCTCCTGCTCTGCTCCTGCTCTGCTCCTGCTCTGCTCCTGTCCTGCTCCTGCTCTGCTCCTGCTCTGCTCCTGCTCTGCTCTGCCTGCTCCTGTCCTGCTCCTGCTCTGCTCCTGCTCTGCTCCTGCTCTGCTCCTGCTCTACTCCTGCCCTGCTCTGCCTGCTCCTGCTCTGCTCCTGCTCTGCTCCTGCTCTGCTCCTGCTCTGTTCCTGTCCTGCTCCTATCCTGCTCCTGCTCTGCTCCTGCTCTGCTCGTGCCCTGCTCCTGTCCTGCTCCTGCTCTGCTCCTGCTCTGCTCGTGCCCTACTCCTGCTCTGCTCCTGCTCTACTCGTGCTCTGCTCCTGCTCTGCTCCTGCTCTGCTCCTGTCCTGCTCCTGCTCTGCTCCTGCTCTGCTCTGCTCCTGCTCCTGCTCTACTCGTGCTCTGCTCCTGTCCTGCTCCTGCTCCTGCTCTGCTCCGCCTGCTCTGCTCTTCCTGCTCTGCTCGTGCCCTGCTCCTGCTCTGCTCGTGCCCTGCTCCTGCTCTGCTCGTGCCCTGCTCCTGCTCTGCTCCTGCTCTGCTCCTGCTCTACTCCTGCTCTGCTCTGCCTGCTCGTGTCCTGCTCGTGTCCTGCTTGTACCCTGCTCCTGCCCTGTTCCTGCTCTACTCACACCCTACTCCTGCTGTACTCCTGCTCTGCTCTGCCTGCTCATGTTCTGCTCCTGCTCTGCTCCTGCTCTGCTCTGCCTGCTCATGTTCTGCTCCTGCTCTACTCCTGCTCTGCTCTGCCTGCTCGTGTTCTACTCCTGCTCTGCTCTGCCTGCTCGTGTTCTACTCCTGCTCTGCTCTGCCTGCTCGTGTTCTACTCCTGCTCTACTCCTGCTCTGCTCTGCCTGCTTGTGTTCTACTCCTGCTCTGCTCTGCCTGCTTGTGTTCTACTCCTGCCCTGCTCTGCCTGCTCGTGTTCTACTCCTGCTCTGCTCTGCCTGCTCGTGTTCTACTCCTGCTCTACTCCTGCTCTGCTCTGCCTGCTCGTGTTCTACTCCTGTTCTACTCCTGCTCTGCTCTGCCTGCTTGTGTTCTACTCCTGTTCTACTCCTGCTCTGCTCTGCCTGCTCGTGTTCTACTCCTGCTCTGCTGCTGCTCTACTCCTGTTCCTGCCCTGCCTGCTCGAGTCCTGCTCATACCCTGCTCCTGCTCTACTCCTACTCTATTCCTGATCTGCTCCTGCTCTGCTTTGCCCTGCTCATGTTCTATTCGTACGCTGTTCCTGCTCTACTTGTGCCCTCCTCCTGCCCCATTCCTGCCTTACTCCTGCTCTGCTCTGCTCATGCCCTATTCCTGTTGTATTCCCGCTCTACTCGTACCCTGCTCCTGCTCTACTCGTGCCCTGCTCCTGCTGTATTCCTGACCTGCTCTGCCTCTGCTCTATTCCTGCTCTACTGCTCTGCTCTGCCTTGCTCCTGCTCTACTCGTGCCCTGCTCCTGCTGTATTCCTGACCTACTCCTGCTCTATTCCTGCCCTGCTCCTGCCCGATTCCTGCCATGCTCCTGTTGTGCTCCTGCTGTGCTCTGCTCCTGCTCTACTCGTACCCTACTCCTGCCCTACTTGTACCCCACTGCTGCCCTGCTCCTGCCCTACTCCCGGGGCTGGAGGTGGCTATTCCAGGGCTGGTTTTTGCAGGAGAATGTGCCAGGAGCTGCTCTGCAATGGGAACAGTGGGATTTCTGTATGCTCTGCAGGGGGAACAGTGGGATTTCTGCATGCTCTGCAGGGGGAACAATGGGATTTCTGCATGCTTTACTCAGGGGAACAATGGGATTTCTGCATGCCCTGCAGGGGGAACAATGGGATTTCTGCATGCTTTACTCAGGGGAACAATGGGATTTCTGCATGGTTTACTCAGGTGAACAATGGGATTTCTGCATGCTCTGCAATGGGAACAATGGGATTTCTGCATGCTCTGCAATGGGAACAATGGGGTTTCTGCATGCTTTACTCAGGGGAACAATGGGATTTCTGCATGGTTTACTCAGGTGAACAATGGGATTTCTGCATGCTCTGCAGGGGGAACAATGGGATTTCTGCATGCTTTACTCAGGGGAACAATGGGATTTCTGCATGCTTTACTCAGGGGAACAATGGGATTTCTGCATGCTCTGCAATGGGAACAATGGGATTTCTGCATGCTCTGCACAGACCACAAAACCTGGAGGGGAAAAACTGAGTGGGAACAAAGTTTTTAGAGTCAGAATTTTTCAGCTTGAAAAAAGCTGGAACTTGAAAGGTTGCAGAGCAGATTTAGAGTTGGCGTGTTAGAAAGGGAAACTCTGTTTTCTGCAGTGCCAGTGTGGGTCTGTGACATCCCACCTCAGCCTGGGGACACACCTGGGGATGAGAGACTCCAGGAAAAAACTGCACTCCTGATTTGGAGAATTGATTCATGGATAAATTGCATTTTAGGATGGTTTTTAGCATATCTGCTCCACCTGCTGCCCCGGCCAGGATGGGTCTGTTCAGCTCAGCTTTGTGACGCCAAACGCGCGTTTCTCTCTTAAAAACCGCCCTGAATTAATTACCTTGAATCAATCCCCCTGAATTAATGACCCCGAGCTAATTACCGCGAGCTAATGACGCTTTTGCCCCAGCAGGAGTGTGTTTCCTGCTGTGAAGGCATGATCTGCAACGTGGAGATCCCCACCAACGCCACCAACGCGGTGTTCGCCATGCTGCAGGCGCGCAGGGCGGCCGCGGGCAGCCGCGCCCTGCCCAGCCTGCTGACACTGGTGACACTGGTGACACTGGTGACAACGGCGCTGTCCTGACACAGCACCCCCTGACAGAGCTGCTGGGACAGCCCCCGGGCCAGGAACCTCCAGGGTCTCCAAGGAGAGGTCGCTGAATTCATCCCAGCAGGTTTAGGGGAAAGGCGCATCCTGAACTCCTTGGGTGTTCTAATGGGAATCCTTCCCCGTCAGTGTTGGAAATAAACCCCACAAAAACCTTCCAGTGGGGAGGACTCGAGTTTTAATTCCCTGTTTTCTGAGGAAAATGCACATTTTTTTGGATTTTGGGACAGAACTGTGACAATCACAGTCAAAAGGAGCTTTGGGTGGATGACGTGGAAAGGTGGGAACTGGATTTAAACCTTTTATGTGCATAAACAACTCAAGAGTTTCTTATCAGGGTGTGTTTGAGCTTATCTTGATTTCATAGAGAACACCTCTGGTTTTCATAGAAAACAAATATGAGGTTGGTTTTTTTTCTGCTTGATCAGAGCTCTTATTTCTCCTGGCAATAATACAAAATTAATTCTTTTCTTTCTATAAAGTGCCTCATCCTCCTCCTGTTTTAAAGCTGTGGGAAATGTAGAATTCCTAAAAACCCTGGTGGAGCACCCAGAGCAGAATTCCTGATCTGGCAAAGCAAAGGGATTATTTCTTTGCAATTGGGTGTCCCCTCAGAATATCACAAAAATATTTTTGTGATATTGGGATGTCACCACTTCGAAATCACAACTGTGGTCAAGCAGCTTCATTATCTTAAAAATTCCAAGTGAGAAATTGGAATAAATAAGGAGGGAAGTCTGCTGTGTTCTCTCTTGATTTGCACAGGTTTTTCCCAGGAATTTTATTTTTCCTGATGGATGTTTTCAGGAAGGATGGATCACTTAAACTGAGTCAAAAAAGGGATTTGGAGCTGCTCCCTGAAAAATGTTGAGTAGCTACAAATTTGGCTTCTTTTACATCAACATTGCCTTAATTCTTTGCTGTTTTGTGTCACTAATTATATTCAGTTGTAAAAAAGATTCTGGAATATTTCCAAGCTTGTTGACATTCCGAAATTTCCTCCACAATATCCTTAGAATGCAGAAAGGTGTCTGAATTCAGTCTGTGGCTCCTGGACGGGCGATTGTGCAGCTACAAAATTGGATGGAAAAGCTTTTTCCTTGCCGAAGAAAAACGGTTCTTGATGTCTGAGTCAAGGTTTTCCAGGGACTGGATTCTCATGGATCTCTCATTTCTCAAGATCTGGATTCTCTCTTTCCATATCTGGATTCTGTGCCATCCAACAGGGCTGGAATTTGGCTCTGGAGCCAGGCTGGGAGAGCTGGGAATGTTCCCCTGGAGAAGGGAAGGCTCCAGGCAGAGCTCAGAGCCCCTGGCAGGGCCTGAAGGGGCTCCAGGAGAGCTGGAGAGGGACTGGGGACAAGGGATGGAGGGACAGGAGCCAGGGAATGGCTTCCCATTGGGAAAGGGGAGATTTGAGTGGGATTTTGGGAAGGAATTCCTGGCTGGGAAGGTGGAGAGGGGCTGGGATGGAATTCCAGAGCAGCTGTGGCTGCCCCTGGATCCCTGGAAGTGTTCAAGGTCAGGTTGGATGGAGCTTGGGACAAGGCTCGAGAAGGCTGGGCAGAGTCCCAGAATAAAGCAAGGATTCATTCCAAGCATCTCCTCCATGGATCCACCTTGGGCAGCACCAGAGCCCAGCCAGGGCTGCACCCAAGATGAACCAAAATGGCCCCAAAATGCACCAGCGCTCCCGGGCTCTGTCCCTGGGATCAGTTCTGCTCCATTTGCATCTTGCAGTTCATTGTCCCATCCCAGCTTTAGCCCCTGCAGTCCCACCCTGCTTGTTTTTCTCTCTCCAGCCCACGGGGTTTGTGCTCCTGGGCTGAGATTTGGCTCATTTGTCCTTGGTGCCCAGCTGGAGCAGGAATTGTTTTGTCTCCCTGCTCTGTGCACAGAGCTCAGCATCCCTTAAACATTGTCCCTTTTCTCTAAAGCAGCACAGAATCTGAAAAACCCCAAACCCAAACCTGAGGCATCACTGGGACTGGGGCAGGTGTCCCTGGATGATCTGGGTGGGCTTTAAGGCCCTTCCCAACCCAAACCATTCCAGGATTCCCTGATGGTCCCATAATTACCTTCATCCTTCTGCTCCAGGAAGGATTTTTCCAGATGAATTTTTTTTTTTTTCTGGTGGAAAAGCCGTTCCAGGTTTTTCATTGCTCCGTGGGGAATTCCTCCCAGTGGAAGTTGGCTCCCGCGTTTTGGGCCATCGGATTTTTCCTGCACAGATTCCACCTAAATTCAACTCAATTCTTGCAGTCTCAACGAGGCCTCCAAGAGCTCTGTGGTCTGGTAGGAGTCACTGTCAGTTATTTACAATAATCTCAGTACTGAGGGGTTTTTTATGGAGGAAAAGCCACTCCAGAGCTTTTGGGAATGGCAGGGAGACCCTAAAAATCTGCTGCAACAACAAAAAAAAGGACATTTCAGGAGGGTTTTGTCCCCTCTGTCGAATATTTTTTTTTCCCCTCTCTGGAAAGTGAAGAAATTCTGAAATGGAGATTTTAAGCCTCATAAAATCCCTCTGCTTTTGGGAAAGAATTGTTTGGGATAAACCCCAATAAATCAACGGAAGGTTCAAGGATGCCACCTGGGCGTGTGAAAGGATTTGATCTTGGGTTTTATGTTTGAAAATCAGAATTTTAGAATTCCAAGAGTGGAGGATATTAAGGATGAGCTGTAATCATTGGGATGCATCCATCCCTTTGTTATGGCAAAGTTTGGGATTATTTTTAGTGGGGAATTGAATAAGCAAATGCTCTTAATGCAATGCAAAGAGGCACATGGTAGAAGAAATATGGAATTTAGGAGGGCATTTCAGTTTTTCCCTTTGCTTCATCTTTTTTTTATGGAAAACCTTGCTTGGATTTGATGTTAAATGCAGATTTTGTAGGAAAACGTGCTAAGAAAATAGTATTAAAATTCACCATATTTTTAGCAGGATTAATGACTGTACAGAAATCCGACCTTAATTTATGGCAGAATTTTTATATTAAATATTTTCAGGTGTCAGAATTTTCAGATCTCTGTCTGAAGAACTTAAAAAAGTATTACTGGATTTGATAAAACAAATTTTCAGTGATGTCCTTGTCTCAATTTGGGTTCAGATGTTGTAATTTAAATTAACAGATGTTGTAATTTAAAAGTATTCAGCTTTTCATTTGATAAAACCAATTTTCAGTGATCTCTTTATCTCAGTTCAGGTTCTCGGATGTTGTAATTTAAATATGTTCCAATTTTCTTTTGATAAAACCAATTTTCAGTCATGTCTTTATCTCACTTTGGGTTCACAGATGTAGTAATTTAAATATATTCAATTTTTCATTGCCTAAATCCACCCCTAAACTTTGGGAATGGTGTTTCTGTAAATCCATAAATTTTTGAACCTGAAAATAATTCAGAAGTAATGGCAAATCCATCCATTTGTGCAGTTAAATGTATTTTTTATGATATATATGTGTATGTAATATGATTTTTATTTACTTTGCACTGGACAGCCTATAGAAGGTTTATTTTTAAAACTTAAATCCTGATAAATTCTTCATTATTCAGTGTTTGGATGTTTTCTTATTGCTGTGTAGCTCCTTTAAATCTTCTCCAGAAATGGCACTTTTAATAAAAAAATATTCAAATATTTTCTGGTGGAGAACGTTTTTGGTGACAAATATTGCTTGGTAAAATCTTAATTTAAATTGAATTCTGCCCTAATTCTGCATAATTTAAACATTGTTTTCTTTGATGATGATTTTCTTTGATTCCAGGATTATTTTTGGGAATATTTACCCTCCCTTTTTAGGGTGATTTATCCTCTTAGAGACCCTCAGTGCCCAGGAAGCCTGAAGAAAACTTAATTTTATTTGCATTTTTTAAAAACTCTGATTGCTGGAATCGTGGCTAAAACAATTTTAATTGTAGTTTTGTAGTGTTTTAATGAAAATAAAAAGAAATCTCATTTATTTTGCTGTTGGCATCAAGGGGAGGCAGAAAAAGCAGCTGCAGGTTGGGGGGAGAGAGTGGGAAAACAGAAAAGAAAAAATATATTGGATATTCATAATTATTTTTGAATGTTTAAAAGAGAAGTGATTTAAGGGTTTAAAGGTCACCTCACAAAGTTCATTTGGGGTAATTTGTCCCAATTTCAGTGCGAGTTGTTGGGGATTTTTATTTTTGAATTTTGTGAGGGGAGTTGTGCTCTTTATCTTTGTCTTTTTTTAGTTTTTTATATATATTTATTTTTTATGGACTGTAAAAATAATTTGGGGCTTTTATAATTTATATTTATCTTGGAGAATTTTAAAGGTTTTTTTTTTTACTTTTTGTAGTTTTTAATTTTTTGGGGATGATTTTCAAATTCTTTATTTTTTACATCTCAAATTTTTTTACTGTTATTTTTTGGTGGCTTTTAAATATTTTATGTTTTTTCTTTCCTCGCCTTTTTTTATGTCTTTCTTTTTAAATTTTAGTTTTTGCTTCTTTTTTTCTTTGTTTCCTTCCCTTTTTACCCCTTTTTGGGTTGGTTTTAACCTCATTTTCTGATTTAACAGCACAGTGAAGAGCAGTGGGGACTTCCAGTATCCATAAATATTCTGGAAATCAAAAAACCATGGAAACCACAAAACCTCCAGAGGAAAGATAATAATAATAATAATAATAATAATAATAATAATAATAATAATAATAATAATAATAATAATAATAATAATAATAATAATAATAATAAATTTGGTCGGTTGGTCGGTTTTTTTGGGAGAGTTCCTGACAAGATTTTTTTTAGTGTTTTGTGGGTTTTTTTGTGCCTGGTTTTTTTTTTCTCTATGGAAGGAATTTTTGACACTGATGGAGAAAGTAGGGCATGAATGGAAAGAGATGAAAGAAGTTAAATTAAATCCTGTTCATGGTTCACTTCCTTCGTATTAATGGTGTTGGGATATATCTGGGACAAGAAAAAGTGGGGAGAATTTCTGAAAAAATCAAATTAA